ACTCGATCACTTCTAATCCTTCCAGCAATATTGTACCCTTTTTCGCTTCCCTTACCTTCAGGCTTACCTTCCCCTTGATTCTCATCTCTTCGAACAGGAAATTTTTTGCTTCTATCTTCAAGGATCTCCTCCACTGACCTGCCTGCACGAACTCCATTCCCTTGCCTTCTTGAAAACTAATCAAGAGGCATTCTTCTGTTCTTCATAAACTTACCTAAATGCAAAAGGCTTCAAAGGGTAGGGAGTAGGAAACCTGGAGAATTCAGTTTTCTTGGGCCCATTTCCATTTATGCTCTTTTTATCTAAATAAAATCAGCACCTTTTGGATTGTCACCATGACATCTGCACTAGTGTTTATTTGATAATATTTTTTATGAATGCATCATTAAATAAATGCAACCAGTTAGACAAATGATTATAATTTTTTTCCTATCTAATTCACAGGGGACAGTTGACAATGATTAACAATTATTTTACAGTTCTTTTTTTGATAAGTAAAGAGTCATTTTACAATTTGCACGTGCCAAGCCAAACTAGTACTCTAAAAACATGAAAGCTCAAATTCCTCACATGAAATATTACATCAAGCGAGGAATCTTACATAAGAATATTGTTAGAAAAATAAAAAGACTGCAAATATGCAATATCTTATCAAGTTTATCCCTTCTGTTAGATTCACATTAAATACAGAGAATAGAACTTGTCAATTTCTCAGAGCAGCTTGATGAAACTTCATAATACTCACATTTTGGGAATTGGCATCACTTCCTTCACTAGAACCATCACTCCCACTTTCAGCACTGCAAACCATTGGTCCGGACTAAATAAAAATTCATTCTGACAAGTTTCAAAATAATTTAGAACATTTGCAAGAACTCAGAGCTGTTTTACCTCTGTGATAAGCCACCATTAGCAGATGCTCCAGATGTTTTCCCTGTGTCATTCTTGCTTGCAAGCATATCCAAGTTTGCTGAGCTTCCTTTTGATCTCCTTACAGGAATCTTGCTCTTATGTTCACTAGGTTTACCATCAGCAGCCCCAGGAACCTGAAATATGCCACAATCTTTTCATTTGTATGTCATGTTGAGTTTGCACAAAATAGAAAATTAAATAGTGACTTATGCTAAAGAGAACTATTTAATGGTTTTGAACTTTTGAAGGCACTTTCTAGTGGACATTGACAATATGAAATAAACATATACAATTCAATCCAGTATTTATGAAATTAACCAAGAGAATAACCTAAATTCTGGAGAATCAGAGGCACTATTATAATGGAGAACTGGTAATTGACAATATGTCCCCCAAACCCCCAGTACACAGAAAAGGTGTCAAATACTCACAGAAGCTTCAGCCATTCCATTTGGGGAAGGCACTGCATAGGGGCCATATGGATGGGATCCCTGCAAAGATGTACAAAGAAATGAAGATGAGATGGAGAAATGATGATCAAGAAGGGTGTGAACAGATTAGATGGTACATAACTCTAATGGAAGAATGTCATTAGATGGCATAACTCCTAAAATTTCAAGATTAAAAGGCAGAAAAAAGAAGCATGGAACAATGGCAGGAAGTACCGGAGGGATGGATGGATGGGCATATACTCCCCCGTGTGTATACATGGTAACATATGGTGGTGGCGGTGTGCCATATGGAGGGATTATGTGCTGCAGGGAGAAGAAGTGTTACAGGAACTCCACAATTAAAGAAAAACACATCCAGCCTAGGACTTCCAAGTTCCAATGTGACACTAACCCAAGTTAAGGTTCAATCGAACCCCATCCCTGAACTTCTGTGTGCCAAGTTTGGTAATTCCAACACAGAACCTACCAAGTCCAATTATCAAAATAATAAATAAGGACATCTGAAATACCTGTCCCCACATGTATGGATGAGCTTGAGGACTGGATGCAACAGGAGAATGGAAAAACCCAGGTGGGGGAATCGGAGGGGTTCCAGCAGAATTATAATAAGCCTACACGCCAGTAAAGCATATGCTATAGGATTGAAGGAAACTTCAACTAGAAAACAGAAAAGGCAAAAATAGAAATGGCAATACAAGTTAAGACCCTTATCACCTGAAATGAAGCCCAATCAGGGAATACAGTGGCAGTACTGCTAGCAGGAGGCTGCTCCTGAACAACCAAAAATAATAACAATGATTACAAAACAACAAAAGGAAATTCAACTGCATAAACTTGTGAATGACAAATTGTGCTAACTCATGCAGACCTGTGCTGAAGATGACTTTGGTGTCTTTGTTGGAGTATCAGTCTCAGCATTCCCCATGTTTGTAAGGTTGAACAATGCTTTACATGTCACCCATACTTATTACTAATAAGCAGAAAGTATACCTGAAAATTGACCCAATAAATGTGAAAAAGAACCAAACATCTGAAACAAACTTCATGAACGGAGAAAATTGATGGCTTTTTATGCCAGAAAAGAGGTATTTATTAACAATTGCAAAATATTGAAGAAAACATTCTGTTACCATTTTTTTATCACTGGTGAATGATTTGCCAATATGAGAATCCAAAAGAAGCACAATAATTCATAACATGAGCCAGGAAGATAGAAGCAACTCAACTCAACAAGACTTATCCCGTAAAACAAACATCACAAAATTCCTAAATGCAAGGGCAAGCAAAAGAATAGAGATGCAATTCTAAAACTTTTTTTTGATAAATTGCAATTCTAATTTCTAAAACATATTAATTAAGGTCACCTATTGGATAAAATCTTTGGAAGCATTTAATTTTACCACGGATGGCATTCTTAGAAACTAGTTGATTGTGGCCTCCCCTACAGCAAAAAGGATAAAGCTTCACCACAATGGAACCCTCTTACAGAGAGAAACATAAATCAGATGGATGTAGCCTTGGCAACCCAGGTTTTTCTAGAGTTGAAGGAGTCTTCGGAAATAGGGAAGGAAACATATTATCACTCTATTCAGGCCCCATTGGCGTAGGTGATTCCATAAGGGTAGAATTAAAGGCTGTCTTGCAGAGTCTAACATTGACCAAATTTCTTAACTTTAAGATATTTTGGTAGAAGGAAATTCAGAAATAACCAATGCCTGGATTAAGTATTTTAGAGCAGGATCTTGGAGATATAGACATATGCTAAGGGAAACTGTTACATTCTCAGTGGAAATTGGAACACAATACAAGTGGACTGCAAAGTCGGCCAGCTCCTTAGCAGATGGACTGGCAAAACCCCAGGTCAACAGGAATCAAATGTCTTGGGTACTATATTAAATGGGAAAGGGGATTTGTGTAATCTATGGAAAGTTGGCTGACACTAACAACCCAAAAAGGACTGCAAGACACTTAACCTTTGTAATTATCTAAATTCAAATTACTAAATTGTTTTCACTATTACCAATAAAGAAACAACACAAAATTCATAAAAATAAATAAAAAACTATATCAAGTAGCCACCCAGCTGATGACCAGTTAGTGTTTTCTTTCCAAATAGAAAATGACTGTTAGATACAACATTCTTGGCTACCCAGCTTGGCTTTTGTTACTAATAAATAAAAATGTATTACATGGATACCTCAAAAAGAGTGCCATACCTGTGTCGGACACATTGGACACAACACAACACTTGATGGAACACTTCTCTGTTGAATTTGTAATACAAGTAAAGAACCTCAAACTCTAGGAGATAGGATAAAATTTTAGCATGAATTACTTATTTGTTATACTGATAATTTAGTATAATCAGTTTTTTTTTTAAAGAAGGTAAAGGTATATTAATAGTGTTTTGGTAAGTAATAAAGTACATTAATATTATAAAGAAGTAAAAAAATCACGTACAACAAGATGCTGTACACAGGGATTATACAAAATCTGCCCTTGCAGCACTATACCCCTAGACCCTGCTTTACAAAAAGAGTATCATGTACAAAAAAAGAATTATAACCTATACTTTTAACCAGCTTATGACCAGCAAGGAAAACATTTTTTTGGATAATTAGCAAAGAAAACATTTTCCCAAAATCTTTTGGAAAACAGAATCAATAGAGCTGCTTTTGTTCTTAAATGGGCATTTCTTTCATGCCATATGCACCAAAAAACCGCAGCAGGATATTCCAGGACAGCTTTCCTTTTTTTACTCAAACCTTCTACCCTCCAACCCTTACAAACTCCACTGATCCTAATCGGCAGCTTTTCACTTCAAACAGACTCCATCAATTATATATTATTTTAATTGTTTTTGTGTGTTTGCATTGATTTATGGTTTTTTTTATTTGTAACTGAGGTTTTCTTTATAGAATAATACATATATGTGTGTATGATAAAATGCCAAGTATCCAAATACTGTAGGTTATCTATGCTACCTGTTCCATATTCCTTTTACTTTTTAAATTACATTGTCAAACATTTCCCCTAGGAATGATCCCCTAATATAAGAGGAATGATCCCCTAATATAAGGGTCTTCTCTTTACACCTAGTTTAGCCAATACATCTTCCATATAGTCACGTGATCTCTGAACCCAAATGAATCCAACTTCCCAATCTCTAGCTAGATTCCTGATTTTTCTCAGAATGCATTATATTGTCATGCTCCCACATCATTGCTTTTGAGCCACCACAGTATGACCTTTGGATCCCCCTCTACTAGTCTAGCAGCTGATTATAGTTGAGGTCTCTTCTTATTCTTAATCTTTGGAGTACATCCAACAGTTTGTTCTTATTGAGTTACTCCACCCTATAGGTCCTGAAAATAATGCTGCAACTATGCCCATTAATGTATCTAAATACAACCTAAATGTCTGGTTGTCCAGTATTTTCCATACTGCACCCATCAAAGTTCAACTTGGGATTATTTGCTAGAGGAGGTGACCAAGTTGGAAATACCAAACTATTGGCAGGGGATGAAGATGATGAATATCTTGCCAGCTTGGCAGCCTCTTTTTTTATTGATTAGATTAAAAAAACATATACAACAAGAAATTGTGGGCAGAAGGATAAGCCCGAGAGAAGAAAACCACTAATTACAAACCAGCCCAGAATAAGCTCGGCAACCTCTTATCATATCATCCTTCAAAAAGGCTTGAAAAAAGGTAGGGTTTTCGCCCAATAAGCCACCTTTACCATGATACTCCCAATCAATGATTCCCTAGTTTGAGCAACTTCATTGAAAATTCAAGCATTGCTTTCCTTTCAAACTGACGAACTGCATTGATTATTGCTTTAACACTATAGAGATTTTCTTTTCCAATAATTATTCCATTACTCAAACAACATTAAAATGTAATACCGAAACTAAGGCTTAAAGGTTAAAGTGTACAAAGTCCCCAAATCCTATTTTTTGGGGGCTAACCAAGACCAAGTCCAACCTTCTAAAGCACTGTTCGCATGGCTCTCTGTTATCAATAGTAAAATATTCTGACCTCCTCCCCAAGAATCAAGACAAGTGCATTTTGATCATCTCAGAAAATATCAACTTCTATTACATCCTCAATCCTTCATGTATATGTATCAAGTATGACAAAGCACATTGAAAAGTGTAATAATAAATAAACCAACAACCATACCCCCATATATGTGTCTGATCATTTGAAGAGGAGCATAGTATAGTCAACTATAGCATATAATCATTATCTCACACACTTAAGAATATTCAACATTGCTGTATCCTATAAATTCAGCATACTTAATTACAAACTACAATGTATCTTCAAAAGCCTCTTAGTTTTATTTGCTTTAGTGATGTTTGGGGGCATGCTACCTCCCCGTCTTCTGTAGCCCTTTTCTGTTTTATCAAAGAACAGTATCTTATCAACTCAAACTTTAGCATCATCACATCTGAAACTTAAAAGGATTGATTCCTCACGAACTAGCAGGAGACCTTACCAACCAGCCGGTTGGCACCTTGCTTGTTTCTTTGTACTGTTCCTCATGCCTAATTGGGCAGATCAGGTTTTCCTCTTGATTATTAATAAAATATGTTAATTTTTATCAAACAATATCCCAAAATTTGTGCTCAAGTAGCATACCCCCTACACAGTAAGCTCCTTCTCTCCCAATAAGATTTTTGGCCACGATGCTCCTATTATCTTCAAAAATATTACATATTTTACAAAGCTGATATTAAGTCCAACATATCCAAAGGTCAAAGAAAATAAAATTTTGAGCAGCAAGTAGTTTGATATTACCCTGATTTCCGACACAAGAGTATACAACAAATTCATGACAACAGAGATAAACTCATCATGGAAAAATGGTTTGGACTAGCTGATTTTCCATACCATAGTCAGTTCGTTGGTTCATGTTAGAGGTGCATCTTGGAACAGATTGAGTTGAGCATTTATTAAACTTTAAATATAAAACCAATCTATAGGTTCCATGTTTTGGAAGGTGAGAAGGTCAACATAATTCCTTTTCTTCTAAACATTATTCATAGTGTTTTCAAACGTGAAGACCTAAAACATGAGGTACAAACCAGAATGCTAGAGGCATAAGCCTCTGGAGCATGGGTTCTCAGTTATTAAATTCCATTTACAATTTCTAACAGCAAAAAATCGTACTCAAATATACTACAGAAAATCAAATTATGACACCATCCTTGAACTCTTGTTCCAATAACCAAGTTCTCAAGGTACAAGTCCCAATTCCCAAATCACATTTAAATAAACAAAAGACAACACCATTCGTGTAAGGTATATGAGAATCATAGAAAAAGAACGCTCGAAGTACCAGTACGCCACAATAAGAACTTATGTAAACCACTAAATTAACCAAAATTAAGAGCAAACAATTTTTTTTTTTTGTTCAATTTCAAGTGAAGCATAAATTCTAAGTACTAATTTACTAACACTTACTTCGCTTCTACTTCTCGCAAGTAAAACTCTAATTTTTATAAAACATTAGGGCTGGGGAGGAGCCCCTATTTTCCTGAATGAGCAGAAAAGGCCGGAAAGGAAGGGGTGAAACCCCCCTTGTTCTCTGAGAACAACCTGAAGAAGAGGATGTCAACCCCTTTCTTCCATCTATAACAGAAAAGAAGAAGAGTTGTTTTGTTACTTGACTGAGAAGAACCTGTAATAGTTGCTCCCCCACATTGTTTGCAGTCGCTCCTCACCGTTCTCCCACCAATATTTGCTTCTTCTCAGTCAAGTAGCAAGCCCTAATATTCGGTGAGAAGAAGAATAATAAAAATAAAGGCGGAAACCCTGTTTTCTGAGAACTCCAAGAAGAAAAGCTCAGTCCCTTTTCCTCTCTGTAACAGAAGACAAAAAACCCTTGCAGCCCAAAAGAATTTTTAAAAAAAATACAGTACCTGCAACGGTCGCCCCACCACGTCCTCTAGATCTCTCTCTCTCTCTCTCTCTCTCTCTCGCTTCTTCTCAGTAAGGGAGCAAAGCAAGCCCTAAACCTCGTTGGTGTTTCGAGAACGGGAGACGAACCGGTCGTTTTACTCTGAGAGTTTTTTGTTGTAAAAGGAGCGTTTGCACAAATACGGTGGATTGTGTGCGAAAAGAGGAGACCTCGCAGAGACAACAATACAGTGTAACTGCACCGAAATCTAACCGTATGACGTGCCCATGAGTCAAAGGCCACGTGTATTCTCAGTGGAGCCCATGAACATAAAGCCACAATCTCACACATCAGACGGTTCATTTGCTCTGATACAAATAGTTTTCTTTGCATACTGCTCTAACATTACTCTTCTTTTTTATAAGGGATTTTCGCTCATCGGAGATTCCATGTAACGGGAGTATCATAAAATGTTACTCCCGTATTAATGAAAGGTTGAAAAACGGAATTTGAATTACTTTTCAGTTTCTCGCATGGAATTCAAAAGTCAATCCACATTCCACACGCAGAATAAAATTTGCAATGGGATTTGACACGATCCATTTGTTTGTAATTTCATTTGCACTTTTGAGTTTAATTCACGTTTTGCAAACAAATGAAGTAAGGCCCAAAGTGCAAATGAATCTGCACTTCCACCAAACTGATGGTGGATCGGTTGGTAATGGTAAGTGCGCTGGCTTATTGTACCAGGAACTTATGAGGATCAAATCCTGCCATGAACCCCCAACAATATTTAAAATAAAATACAGATACCTCGATCCATGAAAATGTAAAATTTGTTTGGTTTTGCATTGATTAGTTTTGTATTCTTGCCAAATGTATTTGATTGTAATGAATATAAACACAAATTCCAATGCTAAAATCTACCTTCTTTTGATGAGCTTTGAGTACAAATATGTTACAAAAACAAATTGATGTCATTTACAATATGAAAATGTATTCTAATCAAATGCCTTCAAAATTGGACAATATGGCAAATTCACTTTGATTCACCATTTGCACTCTTATCAAACACAAGCTATGCTGCACACAAATAAAGGCCAATTGTGCAAATGAACTATACATGTCTCCTTCATATGTCGTAAAACAAGTCAATTTTGGAGTAACCCAACCAAACTTAGATTTGCATTCAAATACATTAATGGATTTAGATGCAAGTTTTTTTTTCACAAAGGTTAAGATGCAGGTTTGGATCTTTGTATGAAATTCACATCCAAGTGCCTATTTTATGCATTGAAATCAAATCCTAAGGCTTTGTTTGTGGTGTGAATTTCATAATCGATAGTGTAAATGTAGGGGATGTAAATGGACTATGTGTAAATTCTAGTTTACTTTTCCTTTGGATTTAGGGGATGTTCAACAGCATGGTTTGGCTCGTTTTTGAAACCAAAACCAACCTAATTTTTCGAACACCACCTTATAGGGTGCTCACGGTTCGATAATCGAACTATGGTGTATTTTTACAAACCAAACCAACCTAATCGGTTTTTTAAATATCTAAACCAAAATCAAACTGATGCAACCGATTAACTAGTGGACCAGTTAACCATGGTTCAGTTTTTTGGTTTTTTATGCACGTAAAATAATAATAATAATAATAATAATAAAACCTAAAAGAGGTGGTGCCTGAGAGGTGGCGATTTGTCGATGCCAGATTGGTTGGTGCTAGTGGTTGCTATCGGCTATCACTTGAAGTGAAAGCTTGAGAGGTGGTGCTTGGCGGAGCCGCAAAAAAGAGAGATGAGAGAGAGAGAAGAGAGATACAGAGATGGCATTGGTGCTTGCTTGCCAGCGAGGTGGCGACTGACATTGCTGCTTGGTGCTAGTGGTTGGCACGGGCCGCGCAGCGAAGATGACAAGCGAGAAGAGAGAGATAGAGACATAGACTCACTCACTCACATAGAATAGAGAGACAAAGACAGACACTAGGGGAGAGCCGGAGAGGCTCGTCGGTCGAAGAACGACCGGTGTCAGAGGAAAGCAAGGGGAACTGCGGCACCAGCTGCCGAACTAGCCACTTGGGATTGGGGCCTGGCCGTCTGGGGAATACGAAGACTAAGAGAGACTAAGAGAGTGAGAAACAGATAAGGTATTAGGTTTAGGTTTTGAAGAGACAAACAAAGAAAGGCTGAAAGGTTTCGAAGAGACTGAGAGATTGTCGAACTTTTTTATTTGGTTTTAAAAAATAAAAATAAAAAATATAATGTATATAATATTATATATATATATATATATATATATATTGGTTAGTTTGGTTAACTATCGGTTTTTTAAATGGTTAACCAAAACCGAACCAAAACTGTCGATTTTTTAAGAATATCAAACCGAAATTGAACCGACCAATTTGGTTAACCAATTTTTCAGTTCAATTTGGTCACCCCTACCACCTTAGGGGTTGTTTGATAACAGTTGAAGTTGTTGAATTGAATGACTTATTGAGAGAGAAGTAAAACAATGTGGTCCCTCTTTTATATGAAAGATAAAGAGGCAATATGAAGGTTAATTGTAGCAGGAAAAAAGGTGTGGACCATGTGGTCCTACAATATAGGAATAAGGTGGTTCAAAATTTGGCCACATCGTATTGTTTCTTGTCTTACTCTCGAACAAATAACCCTCCTACCTCATATCACCTTTTTTAAGGTGGAGGCCACATCATTTTACTTCCCACAAAACAAATGAAATAAAGTGAAATTTGAAGCAAAAGTAAATCAGAACTTACATTCAGCCCATTTGCACTCCCATGAATTTATGCCAATGCAAACAATTTACACCGTAAACAACCACTATAAGGCTGTATTTGGTTGTAATGCAAATAAATTTGCACTGATGCAAAACTATGGCAATGCAAATGATTTAAGTGTAAATTCTAACATATTTTTGTTACAAATTTTAGCTTATTTTGTTTGATTGCAGTATAAATGAAGTAAATTAAGACATGAAGCAGAATAAAGCAAAATCCAAAATAAAATTAAACAAGAATTTACATTTTTTTTTTATATTTGCACTCTCATGCATTTATACTAGTGCAAATAAAATTGCACTGCAATGAAACACAGCCTCAAAGAAAAATCCAATCTTAAAATAGAACTTTTCTAGCAAGTAAACATTTGCTACAATCCATAGATTGTAAAACCTCATGGTGTAGTACCAAAACACGTTTGAATTAGCTAAAGGCACAACACTATGGAGGGGCTGCGGGCTCCTATTCTTTGTGTTATTTAGGAAGAATCAATCTCATTGAGCAAATGAAAATTCCCACTTTAAACATTTATAGATAAATCCCTATATATTAAATGTTACATCTTAACCATTTCATTTGAGAGGGTTGAGGCTAAACCTGCCAACACATCCAAGTTCATTGTTGATATCTTCTTCAAATTGCCAATTGATGAGATGAGGCCCATACATGTAGCCCATGCCCATGCTGCCATGTATCATAGAATGAACCAAAGAGCTACCAGTGACCTAAACTAGCCTAATTGTCTATCTAACCAATTAGTCTCATACAAATGCACAAGGTACACATTAAGAGTGAGCCAATGAGATCCTTGGGCCAATAGTCATCTCCTTGCAAGACCATGACTCATTAGAAAAAGGTATGCAATACACAACACTCTCTAACTCTCTGCTTCTTTGCTTTCCTTGTTGACCAACCTCCTCAGCTCAGCCTATGTGACCCTTGCTCACTTACTGGCTTAAGCATCAAAGAGTTCATCCCAGGAACATACCTCAGGACTCTCTACCCTTTTACGGGTCTTTAGAAGCAACTCAGTTCACCACTCACCTTGCTTTATCATTTTTCCTCCTCTTTATCTATTGGTCAGGTTTTGACTGCAACACCAATATCAACACAAACTAGAAAAAGAGATCTAAACACATTCTCTTATAACTTTCTTCCCTTAATTTCCTTAATAGCTTTGTTCGTAACTTTTGTACTACTATTTGTCAACACCCAAATTTTCCTATAAAAATAGTTAAATACAACCGAAGAATTACTAGAGCTAGTTATATTGCATAAATATATACTAGTTACCTGCTTATCAAATAAATAAATATATACTATTTACCTAGCGTATAAGGCACAAGGATGAATAAAAAAGCAAAACATTAAATTAGTTTGGCACAATGATTCTTCAATTTAGATTTCTCTAGTTGAAACTTTAAAGGAAATGTTTGTGGGCATTTTGTTCTAGAGAAAGATCATGATTTTAATGAGATACTATTAGGACCCCGTGTAATGCGTAGGATTTGTTAAATAAATCAAGTAATTGATTAAGTATATTAATCAATTTGGTAGGATCTATGACTTAGTAATAGAGACTTGGGATCTAGCTCTACTAGGGTGGAGGTTAAAATGATAGGGGATGGGCCGTTATATAGCCCCATTAAGTAAAAAAAAAAAAACTAAAAAAGTACACTAAATAATTTTTAAGTACATTAAGTAAATAAAGTTAAATAAGCTAATTAAGTAAACCACATAAATTAAGCTATGTGAACTTAGTTAATTAATCTATGTTACAATTTATTTAGTTTTTTAAGCTTAAAACTTATCAAATTAATAATTCTTATTAGGTTTTATAATTTTTTATCATTCTAATTGAATTTTTATTATCTTATTTTAATGTTTATTGACTTGTTAATTTTTTTATTATGAAGTTATATTATTAAGAATGGTAATGGTGTGGGTTCAAGGTGGGGCACCCCCTTCCTGTCCCCGCCTTATAGACAACTCCCCTACTTTGTCCCAACCCCATCCCTAATGGCAAGGCAGGGCACCCATTCCCAATTGGGGATGGGGAATCATCAAAGTTTCCCTTCTCTGAGGCAATCGCTTAAATATATATCAACCTTAAGGGGTATTTTAGAAATGGAATTATAGGATCCTAGGATTTTGCAAATTTAAGGAAAACTTATGGATATTTTAAAAAATAATGATAAATCTAAGGGCATTTTAATAATTTATCATTGAGTTTGGGTGGGTTTGAAAAATTATATGCCAACTCCATTCCTACTATATCCTTGGTTCAGGGGAAAATAGTTTTTACATCCCTACCCTTATCCCATTTAAAATTGGGAAAACTTGCTTCAAATGCACCAACATTGGGAGTCATGAATTAATTAATAACACTTTATTTAAT